AACGGTATGAGACCACTGCAGATACCAATCATGAAATATGCCACTTCTAATCATCTAATGCACCACATTTTGCGCATGCATCAGAGGTTGTCTATAACATCTGCTGTAGAAGAATCGTTACAAGGTAAAATTTTACAAAAACAGATTAGCTATTATGAGACAACCCATACTTACCATGTTCTGAACAGCGTTTTTAAAATGTTGACAGAAGATTCTACACCATATATGGATATATGATGATTTATTAGCTAATGGTATCTGTAATCATAAAGAAAATATGTACGAATCCTTTTCTTTTATTTAAATACCATGGTTTTGAAAGACTCAATGATTCAGGCTTCCCTAAAGAGGCATTATTCAAGAGCTAAATCTGCCTATTGAAGGTCTTTCTTTAGGCCTTAAATGTTTTATAAATGATTAATTAGACATTTATTAAAGATACATTATGGGAGATTAGATAAAGAGCTGGCAGTTCTCACTATAATAGTTAAAAACTAGATAATGTAAAGGGAATTCAAAGAAAATTTCGATCAAATTGATCTATTCTGAACCAAGAATTTAGAGATTGAATTTTCGGCCTAGCTTGATCACCATTACTAAAGTCGGTATGATAAAAAACATAGTCTCGATTATCCTTTTCATGATTAAATCATAAATGAAAGTTGAGCAGCAAACCGGATCCTAATCCAGTAAATATCGCAGGTTAGCGATGGCATCGAGAGTCGATTATGGTCTGGATAAGTTAATTAATGTCTAATTAATAATTTAGAAAACATGTCAGGCCTAAAGAAAGACCTGCAATAGGCAGATTTAGCTCTTGCATAATGTATGTTTAATATAACAAGACCATAATCAACACTCGAGCCATTAAATACAGGCACTCGTGCTCAAACAACACAAGTACATCATACCTTAGCTGCAGTCCATTGAATTATTATCCTAAATGAACAAACCTTAATAAGTCGATTGGACTTCATCTTGTCTCCGTTGACGTGTATTTCCTGTGACCATGACGACTGTACATTAGTTAATCGTAGTTTTATTTCTCTCACTTCTTCATGCTCTATAACATACGATGGCATCGTCTGACCTGCACCAATCAGAGATGTCGTTTCATTCACACTTTGGTCTTTAGAGGTCACCAATTTGACCTCTATATTTTGTGACAAACGACTAGACATGACCAGTTGACCAGTAAAAATGATCTGAAATAAAATTAGGAAAAAAAAGTTGAAAATCTACAAGAAATTGACAACTGTACAACTGCAGAAAACAGCGTCTAGGCAGACAACACTTGTCACATACAAGCTTGGGCTGACAGATTCAGTGAGCGACCTTATGACCTAAAACCTATGTGTTAAGACTAATGGCCACCCCATTATTAGAATAAAAAAGTTAAATGTTTCTGGCAATTAAGAGGAAATTTACACTTGTTTGTTGGTCATGGTATTCTATATAAGATAAGTAATTGCTGTGCCAACATGTCTAAACTGTTTAAATGTGGGTGCATTAGTCGTCACACACAGTAATCCTACTGTTCTGCTCCGACTGGGCCATGCAGTGTGTTATGAGGGAAATTATGCCCGGACAGAGGCACTACGGCCTGTTCTTATATCAAATTCCAACTGCCAAGGAATCTTTTATGTGCACGCCACAACGGTTTTTCCGTCCCATTCGAATGACTAGACAGCTGTTCTTGTCAGACCCTCCGCCCTTCACAACTGACAAGAGAAAACCATGCCGGTAATTTCCGATGAACAATCTCAACATTTGGCTGCTCAACCCCCCAGATGTTTAAAACCCCCGCACAACAACAGTACAAAATCATATTAAGGTTGAAATGAGGGGTATTTTATTCATCTTCATAATGTTTTGGGTTAAAAGACCCTTTTATTTAATAAAGGGCTTTTTTAACCCGAAACATTATAAAGATGAATAAACCATATTTTACTGACTTCTGTTGTCTTGTTTTATACCTTTATTCATAATGCGTTGTTTACTAAATAATTTATCATTATATTTTTTTTGTCTGTGATACTGTTTCGTGAGAATTTATAATGTGTGATAATTTATAATGTTTTGTAAAGCGCATTTGAGCACCTAGTGAATTGTGCGCTATAAAACTGTTCATAATAATATAATAATTACTTGTTTCTGTGTATTAGACAACTGTTTTATTTTAATAATAACAGTATAATTCTCTTCTTTACTCCTGACAACCCGGACTATAGTCCCTGTCTTCACAACATCAAAAGCATCACACCACTTGATACAGCTAGAATCAACACAAAGATGAAGTGCCTGAAAAAAAGATTAAAAGTTTAATACTGTTTCAGGGGCCCCATGGTAGTCGAGCAGCAATGACACCAGATTCTTACCGGGGGTCAATAATTTTTCAAAGCTGGTTCCCACTTATAATCATTCAGATTGGACAAAACTGGAGGTTCACCTTTGGAGTACACATAATAGAACTCTTGACAATTGAGGGGAGAGAAAGAGAGAGAGAGAGAGAGAGAGAGAGAGAGAGAGAGAGAGTTTAATGTCCATTTGGCACAAACTAGGTCATTTCGGGACTAACACATGGTTCAATTTTATTTCAATAATACGCTTGCGCGTAGGGGTCTTTAGCAGTGGGAGGACTGGAGGAACCGGAGAAAACCCACGGGGTTAGACAGACGACCCTACGCTATGTCACGTTTGACCGGGAATTGAAACCACACCAGTTGTCTCAATAACAGACCTTATGATACAGTCATCCACCCCCCCTGGGGTCAATATAAGGAAATTGGTTTTAACAAGCAGGGAATCAATATCCCGCCAGTTGGCTCCAGGACAGATTCTTTAACCTAAAGCACACAGGTTAAACTATTCTGCCCACCACCCTCCCATATCAGTATAAAGACATTATACCTGTTTGATTTTATGTGATCTCCAGTTATATTTATACATCTGTCTGGACTGTAATATTATATTCTCATCTGTTCCAATCTACAAATATAACAAATATACAGCTTAATATACAGTAGAATATCACAAATATAAAAAAGCTTAAAGTTACGCTATTCATATTATCATCTGTTCCAACTTAATCATATCACAAATATAACATAACTGAAAGTTACGAGTAGTCCAGATTCTGAAGATTCCGAATTACAACATCAATCAGCGGTTCCATCATATGATTTGCGTTGAATTAACATTAGATAATCCGGGCCTTCAATCATTGGTCCCGTCACACGATTTGCGTTGAATTAACATTGGATAATTCAGCCTTCAATCAGTGGGTGTTAACCGACAAGCAATCACTAATCAATTATTTGTGATCATAATTAGCTCTAAAATTTAATAATCTCTTGTAAAGAGAGAGCGCTTGGTATTTGATTTGAGTTTCTCACATCAAATACACACTTGGCAAACCTCTGCAGATTTCGGAACTCTACATCTAATACTTCTGGCATAATTGCGACAATTGAGTATTCCGACATGCTGTCTTATCAGGCATATTGTATCGATCCCGTACCATGTCGGAATTGACAAGAGTCCACTGTATTTAGGTAAATCCAAAAACAAATGAAGACTCTTTTCGCGTAAAAGGCAAAACAGACTTTTAGACGAGAATCTTTGACGCGAGTAGAACGACGAGTGGGTTTAATTACAACTTCAAAATGATGTTAAATACGAATCATAATTACCACTACAACAACTGACTTCAACTTTTCAGCTAAATTAAGGTCAAATAAAGGGTACGATGGACGTAATTGTTCGGGAGGCCATTTCAGAAGGGCCTTGGTTTGATGTGACTCCGATCATTTTTACTTGAAATTGATTGTTCCACAGAAAGCTTGTACAATTTGCTACCAGATGGCGCCATTAACTAGGGTTTGTTGAAAAAGTGACTTAGATCGTTCATCCCCGGGGCTCTTCAAATGTTTATTAAAATCCTATCTTTTTTACCTACCTGTCCGAAATGTAGAGTCTGTTGAGTATCATTACATACAATATAATGTGAAAATATTGGTGTACATTTCATCTCTTCTTTCTTTAATACCTAATTTAATATATAAAATAAAATGAAATGAAACGTCCTACTGCTCTGCTCCAACTGGGTTAATGAAGATTGGCATACACAATACAGAGTGTTATGAGGAAAATTTGGCAGGACAGCGGCATGTTCTCTTACATGTGTACATGAAACCTAGACGCCCCCCCCCCCCCACACACACACACACAAATGACAAGGGGAAACCACACAGGAGAATACTGATGAACTTTTTTGGCCAACACCTCCAGGTTAGCGGGTCAATCGCAGCTCCGTCATAAAGCTTTGAATCAAAACCATGCCAGTTGAATCAATAACAGACCTTATGATCAATGGCCCACTCACACCCCTGTTATCAAGACAATAAGTTTGAGTGGATGTAACTTACCGGAAGCCATGTTTGTAAAGAAGTATTAATAGTATGTACTGTTCCTTTACCAACTTGTATTTTAACACTTTCACCTCGACTGTTTACTTCATAAACTCTTGGCTATAATATAACACATATATAACTACTTCATATAAACTCTCAGTTATAATATAACACATATATATATAACATACTACTTCATATAAACTCTTGGCTATAATATAACACATATATAACATACTACTTCATAAACTCTCAGTTCTAAGCATTACAAAGGAGTTGACCAATCAGTCTCCATAATACTAAATGCGAGAGAGAGAGAGAAATGGGTTTTAACGTCCACTCAACACAAACTAGGTCATTTTGGGACTAACATATGGTTCAATTTTATTTCAATAATTCGCCTGTGCGTAGGGATCTTTAGCAGTGGGAGGAAACCGGAGAAAACCCACGAGGTTGGATAGGCGCCCCTACTCCTTTTCACGTACAATCGGGGAATGGAAACAACACCAGTTGCCTCAGTGACAGGCCTTATGATACAACGCGCATGCGTTACCACTTGGCCACCCAATTCATCACCCTTCCCCCGGAGTGCATATCATCAATGGATAAACAGACAAACTACCCAATACAAAGCACTAGCTCATCAAGCAAAATGAAATAATTAGACTAGAAAGGCCTTGCTTACCTTTTCTGTATGTAATAAGTTGACATCTGCTGTTAATGTGTTGGCCTGTAAAACTGGTATCATTGTTAAATTCTCAAATTCTACCACATCAACATTAACGCTACATCCAACCTTAAATACAAATTATAACATTAACACTACATCCAACCTTAAATACAAATTATAACATTAACACTACATCCAACCTTAAATACAAATTATAACATTAACACTACATCCAACCTTAAATACAAATTATAACATTAACGCTACATCCAACCTTAAATACAAATTATAACATTAGCTCTACATCCAACCTTAAATACAAATTATAACATTAACGCTACATCCAACCTTAAATACAAATTATAACATTAGCTCTACATCAAACCTTACATACAAATTATAATATTAACACTACATCCAACCTGAAATATAAATTATAACATTAACACTACATCCAACCTTAAATACAAATTATAACATTAACACTACATCCAACCTTAAATACAAATTATAACATTAACACTACATCCAACCTTAAATACAAATTATAACATTAGCTCTACATCCAACCTTAAATACAAATTATAACATTAGCTCTACATCCAACCTACATCCAACCTTAAATACAAATTATAACATTAGCTCTACATCCAACCTTAAATACAAATTATAACATTAACGCTACATCCAACCTTAAATACATATTATAATATTAACACTACATCCAACCTAAAATATAAATTATAACATTAACGCTACATCCAACCTTAAATATAAATTATAACATTAACACTACATCCAACCTTAAATACAAATTATAACATTAACGCTACATCCAACCTTAAATACAAATTATAACATTGGCTCTACATCCAACCTTAAATACATATTATAATATTAACACTACATCCAACCTTAAATACAAATTATAACATTAACGCTACATCCAACCTTAAATACAAATTATAACATTAACACTACATCCAACCTTAAATACAAATTATAACATTAGCTCTACATGCAACCTTAAATACAAATTATAACATTAGCTCTACATCCAACCTTAAATACATATTATAACATTAACGCCACATCCAACCGTAAATACATATTATAACATTAGCTCTACATCCAACCTTAAATACAAATTATAACATTTACGCTACATCCAACCTGAAATATAAATTATAACATTTACGCTACATCCAACCTGAAATACAAATTATAACATTAACACTACATCCAACCTTAAATATAAATTATAACATTAAAGAATACAAATAATAATCTGCTCTCTGGCCAAATGAAATGAAGATGAAATGGGGTTTAACGTCCTACTTTTCTCCACCGACTGGGCTAATGAAGACGAGCGTACGCTATGGTTTTTCATTTCCACCACAAATGGAAACCACGCGGGAAAATCCTGAGGAATTTTGTCAACCAACGCCGAGAGCGAACTGAAGACCACATGGCTCACTTCTGAATATGACACCTGGCTCCCGAGTTCACAAAACATTCTCACACTTCAGTTAAGAATTTCCTCAACTTTCAATCACTGTTTATGAGAAATATCTTTGATCCAGAGAAAGTTTTATAAAGGGCTATATTTTAGTTAAAATAAGACGAACAATTTTGAGTAAATTCTTAACTTAAGTCTGTTAATGCTTTGTGAACTGAGGGCCTGACTTCATCAAACAGTAAGACTTAAAACTACCTGAACAGATGTACGTTTCTGTAAACCTTCAATGTGATTGGCTGTTGCTGTTAAACCATCCAATCGTATGACAGCAAATTCTTCTTCTGTTACTTCATCAGGGATGAAGTGGAATGGCTTTAGTTTATTTGGAATGTCTGAAGTAAATAATCAAAGATCATAAGATATCGCAATTCCTCTAGGAGGGGGACGGCAATACTATATACCGGAAAACACTGGAAAACAACTGGAAAACAACCGGAAAACAATCGGAAAACACCGGAAAAAAAACGGAAAACAACAGAAAAACACTAAATACCGGAAAACACACTAAATACCGGAAAATACCCTAAATAGCTAACCTGGAGACTGGCACCCTAAATAGGTAACCGGGAGCCTGGTCCTCTGTGTGCCTGGGTTGGGGTTAGGGTTAGTTTCCGGTTTATAGTATAGCCCTTCTCCGGGTTACCTATATAGGGTGGTTTCCGGTATTTAGTGTGTTTTCCGGTATTTAGTGTGTTTTCCGGTGTTTTCCGGTATTCAATATAACATGGTGTTTTCCGGTAGTTTTCCAGTGTTTTCCGGAGTTTTCTGGTATATAGTATAGCCCGGAGGGGGATGGATGGCCGAATGGTTTAACGTGTGCTTTAGATCATAAGATTTGTTATTGAGTCAAGTGACACGATTGTCAGATACCAGCTGGGAATCGAAACCAAGCCATGACGACTCAATGACAGACCTTACGGTCTAAAGAACAGTTAGAGCATTAGGCCACCCTATTGTCCTGACATTAAATTTACCTTTATTAGTATATGATGATATATATATATATATATAGACTGGGACTGAACCTCTCTCCCCTCTTTCTCTCCGTCTCCCTCTCTCTGGAAGGGGGGTTGGATGGCTGAATGGTTAGCGTGCGCGCGCTGTATCATAAGGTCTGTCATTGAGTCAACTGGCGTGGTTTCGAATCCCCGGTTGTACGTGGCAAGGAGTAGGGTCGCCTGTCCAACCTCGTGGGTTGTCTCAGGATTGATCATCAATTCTTACCTTTATTAGTATATAATAGATGGTTATATAGACGTAAATCTACAGCTGATAAGATGAGTGAGAGTTGATAGACAGGAATAAGACTAGGTATAAAACAGGTGTCAAGTTTAATACAACCTAATAATGATGTAGGTAATATTACAGCTTCTTCTATACTTATATCTTCTTCTCTACAAATATATACATCAACAAATGATTATATTACTAGCTTTAACTCTACAAATATACACCAACAAATGATTATATTACTAGCTTTAACTCTACAAATATACACCAACAAATGATTATATTACTAGCTTTAACTCTACAAATATACACCAACAAATGATTATATTACAAATTCTTCTATACTATGACTTACTGGAAATCTGAGGTAGTAGCTTTAACAATGACTTACTAGATATATGAGGTAGTAACTATGACAATGACTTACTAGATATATGAGGTAGTAACTATGACAATGACTTACTAGATATATGAGGTAGTAGCTTTAACAATGACTTACTAGATATATGAGGTAGTAACTATGACAATGACTTACTGGATATTTGAGGTAGTAACTATGACAATGGCAATGACTTACTAAATATTTGAAGTAGTAACTATGAAAATGACTTACTGGAAATTTGAGGTAGAAACTATGACAATGACTTACAGAATATTTGAGGTAGTAACTGTGATAATAATTCTCCACATCTGTGACGATATCAAATCTCTTGTATTACGTGGATGAACGGCTGGTAGATCTAGACTAGTAGTCTCGCTCTCTGAGAGATTAAACTTGGTGTAATCCATAAACTGTCGAGTTGCTGTGTCCCAGTACTGTAATACACTTGACACCTATAAAACATAACACTTATATTATACTGTAATACTCTAGACACCTATAAAAACATAACATTTATATTATACTGTAAGACACTCGACACCTATAAAACATAACATTTATATTATACTGTAATACACTAGACACCTATAAAACATAACATTTATATTATACTGTAATACACTAGACACCTATAAAACATATATTATACTGTAAGACACTAGACACCTATAAAATATAACATTTATATTATACTGTAATACACTAGACGCCTATAAAAACATACATTATACTGTAATACACTAGACACCTATAAAAACATATATTATACTGTAATACACTAGACACCTATAAAAACATATATTATACTGTAATACACTAGACACCTATAAAAACATATATTATACTGTAATACACTAGACACCTATAAAAACATATATTATACTGTATTACTCTATACACCTATATAACATAACATTTATATTATACTGTAATACACTAGACGCCTATAAAAACATATATTATACTGTAATACACTAGACACCTATAAAACATACATATACTGTAAGACACTAGACACCTATAAAACATAACATTTATATTATACTGTAATACACTAGACGCCTATAAAAACATATATTATACTGTAATACACTAGACACCTATAAAAACATATATTATACTGTAATACACTAGACACCTATAAAAACATATATTATACTGTAATACACTAAACACCTATAAAAACATATATTATACTGTAATACTCTATACACCTATAAAAACATAGCATTTATATTATACTGTTGTGGGAAGTTGGCTGACTGAATGGTCTAACACTTGCGCTGCCGATTACAAGGTATGTCATTGAATGATTCCAATCCCACACTTGTCAAGATGTAGGGTTGCCTGTTCAACCTTGCATGTTTTCTTCCGGTCCTCCCACTGCTAAAATAACATTGGTGGTAGACTGAATAACACATGACTGATGGTTAACATTTACTTGATGTGTTATAGTATATTGTGTGTTACCGTGGTGATAGACTGTATAACTCATGACTGACAGTAACAATTACTAGATGTGTTATATTATCTTGTGTGTTACCGTGGTGATAGACTGTATAACGCATGACTGATGGTAACACTTAAATACTAAATGTGTTATATTGTCTTGATGTGTTATAGTATATTGTGTGTTACCGTGGTGATAGACTGTATAACTCATGACTGACAGTAACAATTACTAGATGTGTTATATTATCTTGTGTGTTACCGTGGTGATAGACTGTATAACGCATGACTGATGGTAACACTTAAATACTAAATGTGTTATATTGTCTTGTGTGTTACCTTGGCGATAAGACTGTATAACACATAACTGATGGTAACACTTACTTGATGTTATAGTATCTTGTATGTTATCATTGTGATAGACTGTATAACTCATGATAATGGTAACACTTACTTGATGTTATAGTATTTTGTGTGTTACCGTGGTGATAGACTGTATAACTCATAATTAATGGTAACACTTACTTGATGTGTTATATTATCTTGTATGTTATCATTGTGATAGACTGTATAACACGTGACGAATGGTAACACTTGAGCAACCAGGCTGTTGGATATTCAGCGCTTTATAAATAGATTATTATTATTATTACTTACTTGATGTGTTATATTATCTTGTGTGTTAAATGGTACCGGTGATACAGAGATGGACTGTATAACACGTGACTGATGGTAACACCATGTCATCATACCACCATTACCATTGGTCATTTTACTTTTACTAAATATAATCTCTCCACCACTTGGATGTATATCACTACCATCTACAAAATATCATATAATAAATATATAGAAAGAGAGAGAAATGGGGTTTGATGTCAACTTGACACAAACAATGGTCATTTCGGGACTAACACATGGTTCAATTTTATTTCAATAATATGTTAGTGCGTAGGGGTCTTTAGCAGTGGGCGGAAACCAGAGGACCCTGTGAAAACCCACGAGGTTGGACAAGCGACCCTACTCCTTGTCACATACAACTGGGGAATCTGCCCCCCCTCCCCCCAATTTCTAAGAAACGATATATTACCTGGAGCTGATATGTAAGCCAAAGAACCAGATTTAAAATCATCATAAGTGACATCTGATATAAATACTGCTTCCTCATCAATAATATTAACTTCTTCTACTACTACATCATCACAAGATGGGGTCTTAACGTCAGATGGTCCTTTTAACCTCTGAAATATCCAAAATATTAAATACCATAAGACAATTTATTTTTATCATTATTATTATTTAACTTAATGTCGGTGGGGAGTCAAAAGGTCATATCTAGAACACCCCATATACGACATTTAGAAACAGTATCTATAAAACCTCTTTTTATTGGCTTAGAAATATGACAAACAGATGAAAAGATGTGCAAGAAAATTCTCATTCTGAAGAAGCAAAAAAGTGAATTTTGCAAAATATGCCAGATACGACCTTTTGACTCCCCACCAACAATATGCTAAACAAGTAATTTATGCAACAGGAAACTAATGGAACCATAAAATTCAAAGTGTATATAAACAAATTAAATCTATACTATTATTAGTGACTGTTGTTTTGACTTGTTTGTTCAGGGTTGGTGGTTAAGCTAAGACTGTCCCGAGGCGGAAATTTGGTGTACAGGAGCAGCTCTGACCAGGGAGCAACATGGGCCAGGTGGCATTCGGACTACGATGTCCGGTTTTTGAATTATACTACTTTCAACCGGTGCAGCACCGGGTCATCCGCTAGTTTCTGATATACGACAAATTCATCACAACATCTCATATAAATTCAAAACGGCTGATGCTGACTGAGATAGGCACCAGACTTCAGTGAGTTTATTAACAGATCAATGAATGACGTCTTTGCGCAATACATATTTCTGTTTTCACAGAATGTTTATACAAGCCCGTAACTAAGCACGCCCCTGCAAAACATTTCGCCCCCCACTGTAAAAAAAAAAAAAACATAAATAAAATTGATATATATTGTCCGTCAATTTTACAGAACACTTTCCGCCCCCCTTGTTGTCCTGAGCTAGTTACAGCCCTGTGTTTATACCTTATTGCCAGATAAAAATCTCTTGATGTTGTTCACCACAGCTTCTAAACACAGGAGATGTTCTTGTCCGAAATTCACGGTTATCAAATCTGTTTCCATGGCAACTAGAGTTTTGGGAATGTTTTGATGTCCGCTGTGTTTTGTCCAATAAAAGATGGTTTCCAGGAACAAGGAAGTTGGCCCTAGTAACGGCAGACATCTTGAATTATAGACAGTTGTAAGTAGAACATCTTTAACGTGATATCGGCCTGTTATAGTTTCTATGGCACCTGAAACAAATTCAAGAATTTAAACAACAGGGGCCACAGTGGATTTTATTTAACATATCTTGAGAGAGAGAGAGAGAGAGAGAGGAATGGGGTTTAACATCCACTCGACATAAACTAGGTCATTTCGGGACTAACATATAGTTCAATTCTATTTCTATAATTCACTTGCGCGTATGGGACTTTAGCAGTGGGAGGAAACCGGAGAGCCCTCAGAAAACTTAACCAGGTTGGACAGACGACCCTACTCCTTGTCATATACAACCAGGGAATCGAAACCACGCCAGTTGACTCAATGACAGACCTTACGATACAGCGTGCACATGTTAACCATTCGGCCATCCAACCCTACCTTCATTCTTAAAATTTTAATTTAGTACGAACCTGTTGAGTTATGTTGAAATTCTGAATCAACTCTAATTCTAGACGTGGACATGACACAGCTGGCAGCACCACTATTAGGTACAGTTTCCATGGTAACAACAATTTGCTCCGTGACAACCTCAATATGATCAATATGGGACAAAATACCTAAATAAGAATTGGATAAAGACATTTATTTTTATAGCAACAATGTATCATTTTTATTTTTCGCAAAAATATTAAATGTCTCATGGCTAATATGGACTCAAATTGATTATTTGACATTTAACTAATGGGGTATTAGGTAAGATTATATAAACAGTTGACAGTTCTCGCTATAATAGTTAAAAAAATAGATAATGAAAACAAAATATGCTGAAAATTTCAGTCAAATTGCTTCACTCTGAATCAAGATATTAGCCATTTGATTTTATGCTAGTCTTGGTCGTCAATACTGACGTTGATATGATAACAAACAAAGTCTTGATCATCCATTTTTACGTTAAATTATCCATCACAAAATGTATTCAAATCCAGTAAATATCGCAGTCTAACAATGGCATCAATAGTTATAGGTGTCTTTAGCAGTGGGGGGAAACCGGAAGACAAGGAGAAAACCCACAAAGATGGACAGGCGACCCTACTCCTTGTCATGTAGAAGCGGGGAATCGAGACAAAACCACTTGACTCAGTGACCTTATGATGCAAGAACATGTGTTAACCATTCAGCCACACAACCCCGCTCAAGACTTTAAACATTACAGTCTTCATTATTATACCAATCTGGTAATCCCCCAGCCAGAAATCATGCCATACGGTTAGATCTATTTCAGTAGCTGCAACCTGCAAATTTTCTCAAGTTCACAAGATGTAAACAGGGCTAGCGCTAACCCTAAACCTAATCCTTACCCTAACCCACAATCCTATGCAACAATCACATGCCCTAACCTGGATTACATCTCGTGACCTTGGGGAAATCTGCCGGTGCCTTCTGAAATAGATCTGACCCATGCCATACTTGACATTGTCTCCTCCCCAGACCCCCCCCGCTCCTCTGCTCAGATGAGAGATTCGTATCTGATTGGCTGATAGACTTACTTGGTGTTGTTACATCTGATGATGGTGCCTGCTCACTTCTGTCTTTATTTGTTTTTACTGACATCAGAGTTATCCCCTCTATGAAGTCTTGAACTTGTTGTACTTTCTGTAAATCTATATTAGCTTTCAATGGTCTCTCTAGGCGTAACATTACACATGCTGAAAAAAACAACAAAAATAATTAGGGTTTTTTATTATGATTGCTTACAAGAGAGAATTTTGCAAGTTCTGTAATTAGAAACTACTGCTAAGGAATCTTATAGTTGTGTAATTGTACTTGGTATTGCGACTATTCTGACGATATGAAAATGAAATGAAATGGGGTTTAATGTCCTACTGTTCTGCACCGAGAGTTTAACATCCACTCGACACAAACTAGGTAATTTCGGGACTAACACATGATTCTATTTTATTTCAATAATCCGCTTGCGCATAGGTGTCTTTAGCAGTGGGAAGAAACCGGAGCGCTTGGAGAAAACCCACAAGGTTGGACAGGCAACACAAACTAGGTAATTTCGGGACTAACACATGATTCAATTTTATTTCAATAATCCGCTTGCGCATAGGTGTCTTTATATAGCAGTGGGAACAAACCGGAGCGCTTGGAGAAAACCCACGAGGTTGGACAGGCAACCCTACTCCTTGTCAACTACAACCCAGGAATCAAAACCACACCAGTTTACTCAATGACAGACCTTATGATACAACATGCACGTGCTAACCATTCAGCCATCCAAACCCCCTAGGTCGGGAAATATAATATAAATCCATTTAAATACCAATCTGATTAAATGATTATATCATCGAATGGCTGTGATTTTGAATGGATTAAAACCCAATTTCCATTTAATCATTTAATGCAAAAATGGATAATCAAGACTTTGTTTATTATCGTAGCAATGATACTTGACAATCAAGATTATATCATCTAAACTTCAAACATTCATAACTTCGACTCAGTATAAAGTAATTTAACTGAAATTTTCAATATATTCACTCTTCATTATCAGTTTCCATTTTTCAACTATCATATAATAGAGCAGCCAAATCATACATAATGTATCTGTAACAAAGTCTAAAAAAAATGTTACAGAAAAATACCAGTCTGATTAAAACACAGATCCTATTTCGTTTCGTTTTAATAGTTTAAAATTTCGTTTAACTTTTCTTTACTACACTAGGGTCTGGAAGAGTTCTTATCATTGACGTGTTCTGAATAGTGTGAGGTATTAGTCAATGAAACGGTCTGTTACGGCGAGCTTTAGGCGTGTTTTGCATGGAACTGTGGGTAATCCACTAGTAACATCAATGCTGATTGGTTAATCAAATGTCTGACGTCATAGGGTCAAAAGCGGCTTGTATGACCTCTGACGTGACCTATCGCTACAACCGGTCAGATCTTCATGTAGTGTAGGCCATCTAAGTATAAAAAAAAAACGAAACGAAATAGGATGTTTTTTTAATTTAGAGACCTACCTGGTTCTTGTAAGAAATCTTTTATCTGTACAGTAAAAAGACAAGGTGGTATTCCAGTCTTTAGATGTGGTTGTCCAGGCCTTGTTTCGACCCAGTACAGACTAAAATCAGCGCAATCGGGAATAATCTGACTTTCACTTACTGTAATGAAAAAATAAAAATTACACAAAAAATCGTAAATAACGCCATCAATTTATATTGTTCGTTCGATACACAGAGAGAAAGCGAGATAGACAGAGATGGGGTTTAACGTCCACTCAACACACAAACTAGGTCATTTCAGGACTAACCTATGGTTCAATTTTTCATTTCAATAATCCAATTGCCCTTAGGGGTCTTTTACCAGTGTCAGGAAAATGGAAAATCGGGAAAAAGCGCATGAGGTTGAACAGGCAACCCTGCTACTTGTCCCATACAAGCGGGGAATGAAAACCAACAATCGACTCAGTGACAGATCATATGATACAACACCAATGTGTTAACCCTTTGGCCACGAGACCCCCCTCGATGCACAGAGAGAAATAGGGTTTAATGTCCACTCAACACTAACATATGGTTCAATTATATATCAATAATTCGCTTTAGCTGTCGAACTAAACTGGAGGACCTGGACAAAATCACGCCATTTGACACAATGATAGATCTGATGATCTAAAGCGTACGCATTAAACCCATTCGACCACCCAAGCCCCCACTTTTGATACAATTTGTTCCAAACAAGCTATTCACTGGATTTGATATTTGTTGTTTATTTCTTGCTATGTCTCACACTGATCAGCAGTGAATATTCGCTAGGCCGCGACAATCACTGAAAAGGATGACATCAATGCGACTTAATGAGCCACAAATATTAACTTTTTTCCTCCGAATTATTGAAATAAAATCAAACCATATGTTAGTCCCGAAATGACATAGTTTGTGTCGAGTGGACGTTAAACCCCATTTCTCTCTCTCTCCTCTCTTGTCTAGTCAGTTTTGTTTGCATACTAAAAGCTTTTTCTAATAGCAGTACTTAAATTTAATGAGTTAGTGAATATACATGAGCTAGTTCATCAGGATTTTCCGATGTGGTTCCCAATTGTCAGTGTTGCAAGATGGGAGATTCTGGGTACACATTAGCGTGCACGTAAAAGAACCCTTGACAGTTGGAATTCTAAATAAGAGTAGGCCATTGTGCCAATGTTCGGGCAAAATTTCCCTCATAGTACATTGTATGGCGTATGCCCGTCTTTATTAGCCCAGTCGGAGCAGAACAGTAGAACGTTAAACCCCATTTCATTCCATTACGTAAATTTACTAAGCTGGACAGCAACTTTGCCAAAGAATCCACAGTTGTACATTTTTTATGTTTTATAAACAATATTTTTATTCAGGATGTCTCAATGGGATTGGGGAACAGGCTTAACCTATGTAAAACCACTCTCCCTATACTACACCACTGTTATACATGAGCTAGGCCAGGGATATTCAACTCAGTTTCGTCTTCCGACTTACCTGGAATTAACAGCTGACTTTCGGAACCACGAATGATGATGTCATAGCAACTCATTTCAAATTTCTGACTGGAAGAACTACAGGCAAGAACTGTGTAAGGCTGAGCGATATAGACATACAGAAATGGTTTAATGCAGACGGTACCAGCCATAATATCATGATTGGATGCAGCGCTGTCTCGGTGAACTTTCAGGAATCCAAAATTCGTACTTGAATCTGACGGCTGTAAAATATTACTATCTACATCATCATCCCCATTCCCATTGGACGATAAGTTATCTCTCTTCCAATCAAATTTGGTTTTAGAGCCTTTAGCGGCACCATTTACAGTTTCTTCACTTTTAATTTTCACTGGATGGAAGTCGTCCTCTAAGTGTTTATGTGTGTACAGAGTACATGATATTCGGTCTGCCGTTAACAGAACTTCAAAGGGCGTGACCTTTGAACGGAGTTCAATATCAGATGACACGGAGGGCACCGGATGAGGTTGAAATTTGAAGGAATCATTCAAAACAGTTGAGATATCACTCTCTACCCCGCTATCAAAGGCGAAATCTTGATGTCGAGTCTTTTGGCTTCCAGTAGTAGATGTATTTGTCCTGTTTTTTGATTGGACTATTTGAACACAGTTTGTTAGAACAGTGCTGATTAGTTGAATCTGATTGGTGCTGATGTAAAGGTCAAGGTCACTTGTCACATTGACTTCCATGTTGAATCCACAGACCAGAATCTAAAAATAGATATTGTTGATTTAAATTAAACCATTAATGCTCATATCCAAGTATAAATAAATATAATATTATACCCATTTACCTGTTGTTTTCTACATTGATTATCCAGTTTCTTTTATCAATATAATATTATACCCATTTAATTACCTGTTGATTTCTAGATTGATTATCCAGTTTCTTTTCATAAACGATAGCTGGTGCTGCCACAACTTTAAGGTCAAAAGGTAACGCTACAGGAATCAGTTTTATATCTTCTTTATCTTTCCTACAAAATAAATAAATGTTGAAAATTGACTCATTCAAAAATATGACTGACAGATGAACAGAGGTGAGAGAGGGAGGGGGGGAGAGAAAGATTTATGGGGTTTAACGTCCACTCAACACAAACTAGGTTATTTCGGAACTAAAATATGGTTCAATTTTATTCAATAATTCACTTGCGCGTAGGGGTATTTAGCAGTGGGAGGAAACCGGAGGACCTGGAGAAAACCCACAAGGTTGGACAGGCAACCCTACTCCTTGTCACGTATAACCGGGGAATCAAAACCATGCCAGTTGACTCAATGACATACCTTGTGATACAGCGTGCACGTGCTAACCATTCGGCCACCCAACCCCTGTTTATTAATAGAGACTAGGTCATTTTGGGACTAACATTTGGTTCAATTTTATTTCAATAATTCACTTGCTCATAGGGGTGTGTAGCAGTGGGTATACCCGGAGAAAACTCACGAGGTTGGACAAGCGCTACTACTCCTTGTCACGTACAACCGGGGAATCGAAAACCACGCCAGTTGATTCAATGACAGACCTTATGATACAGCGCGCACATGCTAACCATTCGGCCATCCAACCCCCGTTTATTAATAGATACTTACTGTTGTAATGATAAACATGTATTCCATTCTAGTGCTGGAATCTGTACTGTAGAATATGTTGTATTATTATCTACATTCTTATTGATACACTCAATAAAATCACTCCAATTACCTATATAATATAAACAATTCACATTTTATACAATATCTGACCGTAATACTGAATTAGCCAATGGCGGTTAACACAAATTACTGAGACAAAGATAGGTTGCCAGGCAACGAAACATACGCCCACAGCAGCTAAATCGTTCGGACAGTCAACAAGAGTTCTCACATATTTTTATTTTTTCGGTAATGAAACATTTATAATACATTAAAATCTGATTAAGAGTAACAACTCATTAAGTAATTATTAGAAAATCATTAGAATTTGTTTGGTTTTTATAAAGTTCTGCCCCATGCTAACGTTTAGTATACGAAACATTTAATATCATGGATTAAATGTTCAAAATTCATTGAAAATGATTATACTTGTTCGTCTCAAGACCTTAAACTCTGTGTATCAATTTAAAGTCAATCGGATATTAACTCTAGCCTCTAGAGCGTCCACAAGAGTTTTTGAAGTGATCAAGGGCCATAACTCTGGCAGTAATTATCGGAAATCGCTGAAAATCAATAGGCTTCTTCGCCTCATGACCTTAAACACTGTGCATCAATTTAAAGTCAATCGGATTTTAACTTTAGCCTCCAGCTTGTGGACGCAAGACCGTCAAACCGACGCACGGACGGGGGTGATGACAATATACGACCACATTTTAATGTGGGCGTATAAAAATAATTCACATTTTTGCTCAAGTCAGATGACCCTTTAATCCTGAGTAAAATACTATCAAAAAATATTCATAAATAAAAAAGTTTTTTGTAAAGATTTAAATTTTCACATTATTTTTGGTCGAACCTGGGAGATTCCAGTCAATAATCTAGTGTCCCAGCAATAGCAGATGGCCTATACTTTTGATGGCCTATAGTACATGAAGATCTGGCCAGTTGTTTTGGTAGGTCGAGTTAGAGGTCATACGAGTGGCTTTTGACCCTATGATGTCAGACATTTGATTAACCAATCAGCATTGATGTTTCTAGTGGATTACCCACAGTTCTGTGCACCATATGCCAAAAGCTTGCCATAACAGACCGTTTCATTGGCTAATCCCTCGCACCGTTCAGAACACGACAATGATAACAACTCTTCCAGATCCTAGTGTAGTAAAGACAAGTAAAAACGAAATTTTGAACTATAAAAACGGAACTAAATAGGATCTGTGTTTTAACCAGATTGACATGCTTTGTAGCCTGAAATCCTCCTTTTTAACTCTAGAGTCTGGCTTGTTGCAGAAGTATGTATAGGAAGGGAGGTAACTGGTGAAAGATTTATACAGGGTTCCCGCGGCTTCGTCAAACATTTTTTCAAGGATATTCAAGGATAAATATACGTCAAATTCAAGGATTTTTAAGGACATTTTTTACCCTAAAGTTACAATTTTTCATCTTAAAAATAACCAAAACATTACCAACTATCGTTATAATCTCATATTTAAAAGGAATTGAAGATATTTGAAACAAAATTAAGGATCTCAACTGAAATTCAAGGATATTTTCCTATTTCCGCGAAATTCAAGGATATTCAAGACCTTGAAAATGAAATTTTAAATTTAAGGATATTCAAGGATTTTCAAGGACCGCGGGAACCCTGTTATATAATATTTGACAAACCTGTACACATGGTCAATCCTTTAATATCCACCTGATATTGCCGATCTTCAATACATGAACTTGGATGCTGGTTAAAACCATTCATCACGGCCCAGTCATACATGTCTTTCCTGATTGGATAACGAGGTAGCGGATTATCGGCATGCGAATTAATACTGACGGAATTTAACTGCACCACTAAAAGATCGTGATTCAAGGTCGACTGATTGTTTTTGGCGTCTGCTGAATCGGCGCTGAACGTCTGCTCTTTTGTCTTCACGTCTGCTTTTGGCAGAAAAATTCGCAGGTTACTCAAATTGATATAGAGTAACGGAACCATGTGGGCAGCCAGAAATGTGATGTCGTTATTTACGGGAGTAGCGGCAGACATCTTTCTTGTAGCAGACGCTGTCTCTATATTTTTCCCGCCCTTTTCAAAAACAGTTATGAGAGATTCTAGGACAGGAGGATAAACTATGACGTCACACGGGTCCATTTTGAGACAAATTTCCGAGATATACTTATGGAAATACAATTCACATTGACCAGTGGCATTGTCCATTTGAATAAAGTTTGGGACATCAACACCTTGTTTTTTTAAGCGTTTGTTGTTGTTTTTGCACAGAGCACGAGTAAATGTTATCGACAGGAAACCATGAGTTTTGTCCCTTTGTACTGCATCATGGGTAGGAAACAGAGATATCGGTGGTACTTCCGAACTCCAGAATTTATTGGATACAATATGAACGTCACGTGACAGTTCGCCTAGACAGGACATAAGGATCCCTTGACAGCAACCAGTACTCCATGATTTCTCTTCTTTTCTACAAAAATAAAATTAAAGTTTTGCGTAAGATTTTCATAGGCCATAACAATAAAATCAAAGTTTTGCTTAAGATTTTCATGGGCCATAAGAATGGTCTATAAGACAACTGCTCAAGAAAAGACAGGTTGCTATGCAACAAAACATAGACCCACATACAGCAGCAAAAATCTACCTCATACATACATATATAAATCTGAAGATCAATGCTGGACGACGGACAGGGGCAACATTAATTGACCATATTTCAACAGAAAAAAAAGTACCTCAAAACAAAACTAACTGACTTTGTCAAAATAGATACCAAGACTTACGAAATGTGCATGGGAGAATTTTGTACAGACAACAACATTACAGCCTTTCAAAAGCCAAGGGAGTTACAGATAAATTTGGTTTAACATCCACTCTACATAAACTATGTCATATCAGGACTAACATATTTTATTTCAATAATTCGCTTGCACATACAGATCGTTAACAGGGGGATGAATCCTGAGAAAACACATGAAGTTGGACAGGCGATCCTACTCCTTGTCACATACAAGCGGGGAATCGAAACCACACCACTTGACTTAGTGAGAGGCCAGTGACCACTGTGGTCACTAGATTTAACATCCACTCGACAAAAAGTAGCTCATTACGGGACTAACATATGGTTCAATTTTATTTCAATAATTTGCTTGCGTGTAGGGGTCCTTAGCAGAGAGAGAGAGAGAGAGAGAGAGAGAGTGATCTTACTGTTTTTGATAATGGTTGATGTTGACTGTATTTAGTGTTATTTTAGTTTTACTATAAATCTTCTCCACATCAACAGATAGAGTTAAATCTTCTAATACCAGGCTCACACAACTATCTATAATAAACAGAGAGAGAGAGAAATGGGGTTTAACATCAACAGAGAGAGAGTTAAATCTTCTAATACCAGGCTAACACAGCTATCTATAATAAACAACAAACATACGTGTCAATATTTACAGATAAAAAAAGTTGTATCACTACATTGGGCTGGTTAAGTTTAACTAGTTCTCATAGTATAAAATTAACTTATTTTTAAGATGTTACATGCATTAATAAAGAAATTAAGTGAAACTAAAGGCATCCAATCGTAGCTAAAAAGAAACACATCTGTATATCTCAACATTTTTAGCTATGTTACCAAAGAGCTAGTCTCTAAAATGTCCGCAAGCAATGCCTTCTTTCCAATCCTAAATGTTTGACTGCGAATAATTCTTACCTGTATCTGGAGACATTAAACTGTAAAAATTGACGGATATTTTGGGAAGAAGTAGTTGGGTCCACAACGTTAACTTTACGTCTGTATCTGACGTATCACTACCCGATGAGTCATGTAGAGGACTATCACTTCCTGATGCATCTTCGGACATCTCTAGCACCACGTCCTCGTCACATGATATACCACTTTCTGCCTTCTTTTTAGGAGAGCTGTGTTGCACTTCTTTCGTGACCGAACTTTTCTCAATGTGTAGATTTTTAATACAGAAGTTGACGAGTTTGGAAGAATTGTTGATCAACGTCAAAACATTCTTGAGCACTAAATTACTGAAGGCAATCTGTGAAAACAAAATAAAAAAAATCAACAGTTTTTTTAATAATGAGATTCTAAAAATCAAAGACATACCGTAACTAACAGAGAGAGAGTGAGATATATAAATTATTATTGAGAGAGAGAGAGAGAGAGAGAGAGAGAGAGAGAGAGATGTGATTTAACCTCCACATGACATAAACTAGGTCATTTCGGGACTAACATATCGTAGACCATAGTGCCACTGCCCGGGCAAAATTTCCCTCATAGCACACTGTATGGCACATATGCCCGTCGTTAAACCCCATTACATTTCATTTCTTTATTACCTGTCTTCTGATTGGTTACTTTATTACTTGTCTTCTGATTGGTTACTTTATGACCTGTGTTCTGATTGGTTTCTTTATTACCTGTGTTCTGATTGGTTTCTTTATTACCTGTGTTCTGATTGGTTACTAACCTGTTTTTGCGATATCGATAATGATAATGGATTAACATCTACATGTAGACATAAACCAAGTGTAGATATATTCTGTGAAGTGGGTGTTGTATAGGTACAGGATACGGCTACCGTAGATTTTATATCTAACTCTCCTAATATGGGCAGACATGTTGTGTTGTCATGGATACTATAAACAGTTAAGTTAGATATCTGTACATTCCATGGTAACTTATCACCTGTATATAGAAAAAGAAGTGGGGTTTAACATCCAATTAACTCAAAATAGATCATTCGGGACTAAAATATTGTTCAATTTTACTTCAAGAATTTGCGTAGGGGTCTTTAGCAGTGGGAGGAAATTGGAGGAACTACAGAAAACCCACCAAAACTTACTCCTTGTCACGTACAAAAGGGAAATCAAAACCACGCCACTTAAATCAATGACAGACCTTGTGATCTAAAGCACAGGCATTACACCATAATTTTTGTACTTGTATTTTATTTTTTGTATATTGTATGCTGTCCTCAAAAGACGTTTTAACTGCAGGTGCCCCCCCCCCCCCCATCGAGTACTATTATATACTCACCTATAAGAGAACCTTCTAACATCTGTATAGGTACAGGTTGTAATACAGTCATATGTTTAAGATCGGAACTATGTATAGATATTGTAGGTAGATATATAACTAATAGTTGCTTTAATCGGTGGTCCAATAAACCTGTATTTATATTACTAGATATATCCATACTAGGTTCATCAAGATTCATCGTTTCATTCGATAAATACAATATACTACTCTTTACATCTACCTGAAAGAGAGAGAGAGAAATGAGGTTTAACATCAACTCAACACAAACTAGGTCATTTCGAGACTAACATATACATATATATATAGAGAGAGAGAAATGAGGTTTAACATCAACTTGACACAAATTAGGTCATTTCGAGAGTAACATATAGAGAGAAAGAAATGGGATTTAACGTCAACTCAACACAAACTAGATCAGTTCGAGACTAACATATGATTCAATTTTATTTGACTGAATTGCATGGCATGGGGTTGAGGTATGTCATAGTTCTGTCAATCCCGACAATGGATGTTGTGTTAGTAGAATCGTGATATAATTAAACTCAACAAATATGTTTCAGCTGTCATGGTTGGTTATAGCCTGAATTGCTCTTTCACTTGATTGTTACTATTTTTGGGATTTAGAGAACTGAATTCCCAAACATTCAATCCAGTATCCTCTATGGAACTTGGGCATATTCTGGAACATTCAACCATGGAATGTGGGCATTTAAATATGTCAATAATTACCTGAACATTTATCTTTCTAAAGAGAGGAAACCAGTTGGCCCAGAAAGATGTTCTCTCCTTGCTTTCTATACTTGATTCTATAACTGAACTAAGTGTATTTGGTGAGATCATCTGGGACTGTGTTAAAGGTTTAGAACTTGTCTGTTGTGTAACTGAGCTACTCGATGGTAGAGATACTGAAATATAAAACAACAACTTTACCATTGTACCAGACAATACCAGGCGTCGATGCAGGAGGCAGGGGATCCAGACACCCTATCAGGAGTTCCAGGCCCCGAATTACATTTAAAACACATTTTTATACTTCCAAATTTCATTTTACTTGTCTTTACAACACTATGATCTGGAAGAGTTGTTATATAACAGGCCTTCTAGTTGATGTGAGGAATTAGCTTATGAAACGGTCTGTTATGGTGGGTTCTTGGCATGCTCTGCACGGAATTGTGGGTAAACCACTAGAAACATTAACGCTGATTGATTAATCAATGTCTGATGTCATAGGGTCAAAAGCCACTCATATGACCCCTGACACGACTTCCCAATACAACTGGTCAGATCTTCATGTTGTAGAGGCCACCAAAAGTATAAAAAACAAAACGAAATGTAGATTTGTATTTTAATCAAATCGGTTGTGCTCTGTCAAGCACAATGAAAATATGGGAAACACTTCTGAGCCAGTCAATGGGGAAATTTATTGTGGTCTGCATCCTATATATATTATATTTATATGGAGTAGAGTTACCTACCTTGTGAGATATTTTGTAAAGGCTAGGCTGCATGAGCTAAAGCTATATCTACTTGGAGTTTGGCAAAGAGTCCAGAATTAAACTCAATAGGGAAATTAATTGTGGTCTGCATCCTATATATGGATTAGAGTTACCTACCTTGTGAGATATTCTGTAAAGGTGAGGCTGCATGAGCTAAAGCTATGTCTACTTCTACTTCTTTAACTTTGGTAGCCAAGGTAACAAGATGTGGTGAATAATCCAACCATGATATCAATCCCGGGTCAGCATATACAGCAAATCCTTCCAAACCAAACAACAACACTGCTGGTGCTGAAATAATTATAAGATCTGCTTACTCACCATCTTCCTTTCTTGCACACTTTCTTACTAGCTTACATATTAATAAACTCAGTTAGGATATTAATCAGAGTCCTCCCGATATGCTGGTTAATATGATACCACATACATGGGTGTGGGACACAGCAACGGAACATAATGGGCGAACATACATACACACACACATACCGTACATATACACTTTGATTTTATTTATATAGATATCTTATTATGGGTATTTGTACCTTATGATATATGTGTCTGTATTTTAAGTTGTTTAATGGTCTCGAGCTTAAGACATTGCGCAACTCGTGACTAACATCACTTGTGTTGTTTCAATATATTACTTAATGTCTCGCTCTCGACCATTAACCCACACATGATAGGGGTATTTTTACCATGTGATATATGAATATTATAGGGGTATTTTTACCTTGTGATATGAGTATTATAGGGGTATTTGTACATTGTGATATGAGTATTATGGGTTTTTGTACCTTGTGACATGTGCATTGTGGGTATTTGTACCTTGTGATATATGAGTATTATAGGGGTATTTGTACCTTGTGATATATGTGTATTATGGGCATTTGTACCTTGTGATATATGAGTATTATAGGGGTATTTGTACCTTGTGATATATGAGTATTGTGGGTATTTGTACCTTGTGATATATGATTATTTGTACCTTGTGATATATGGGTATTATGAGGTATTTGTAGAGTCAGAACCAGAACATCATCTGTTATATCAGCACTCTGTAGATCTTTCTTTATTAAAGTATCATATTTCTCGAGATTGCTGGTATCACTGGGACCATATAATATAGGCATCACTCTTGTCACACCTGAATCTGTCAATAAAATATCATTTATCAATATATAACAACTCCTGTCTTTTATATAACAAGATATAATGACAAAAAATATCACTGGTAATACAAATAATTATAAATTGATATGAATTAGCTATAGAGCTAAATTTGGAATGTTCATATCTATCAATCTATTGTTTAAAGATTCATCATGTATTATCAGAGTCATCCGATGCCATCGAGAGTTGATTATGGTCTTGTCATGGTAATAAATGTCTAATTAATAGTTTATGTAAGGCCTAAAGAAAGACCTGCAATAGGCAGATTTAGCTCTTGCATAATGTATGTTTCAGAAAGAAAATTCAAAGAATAAAGATTATCTTTATGGTTGAAACAAATGAGGCTTAACGTTCTAATTGTCTGCACAAACCTAACAAAAGATGACATGTGTACCTCATGTGCTAGGAGGGAAATCTTTAATTAAATGTAGTCACAAAATGGTTAATATTCGACAATAGCAATGAAATTTCACTTATTGAGAATTCACATAGCTATATATCTCACCTTTGGTATATAGAACTAGCTGTAATGAAGAGAGTCTACCAGTATAACAATCTACTAATGACGTTCTACACCGTTTTACTTCTAAACCATTCATAGTTACATCAACCACCGGTATAAACATTGTACCTATAATATAAACATAGTTATCTTATATATAAACATAGTTACATCAACCACTGGTATAAACATTGTACCTATAATATAAACATAGTTATATCAAGCGCTAGTATAAACATTGTACCTATAATATATACATAGTTATATCTACCATAGTTATAAACATAGTTATATCTACCACTAGTATAAACATAGTTATATCTACCACTAGTATAAACATAGCTATATTTACCGCCAGTATAGACATAGTTATATCTACCACCAGTATAGACATAGTTATATCTACCGCTGGTATAAACATAGTTACATCTACCAATGGTGTAAACATTGTTATTTCAACCACCGGTATAAACATAGTTATATCTACCGATGGTATAAACATAGTTATATCTACCACCAGTATAAACATAGCTATATCAACCACCAGTATAAACCCTAGTTATCGTGTCTTACCTGATTATGGTATTATAGTTAACCCTAGTTATCGTGTATTGCCTGATTGTGGTATTATAGTTAACCCTAGGTCTCGTGTCTTACCCCTGATTGCGGTATCATATATATAGTCAACCTTAGGTCTTGTGTCTTGTTAACCCTAGTTCTTGTGTTTGTGGTATCATAGTTAATCCTAGTTCTTGTGTCTTACCTGATTGTGGTATCATAGCTAACCCTAGTTCTTGTGTTTGTGGTATCATAGTTAACCCTAGTTCTTGTGTTTGTGGTATTATAGTTAACCCTAGTTATTGTGTCTTACCTGATTGTGGTATCATAGTTAACCCTAGTTATCGTGTTTGTGGTATCATAGTTAATTGTGTCTTACCTGATTGTGGCGTAAAGATATCATCTAGAAGACTATCGTGTTGATATTGGTTTAATTGTGGTATCATAGTTAACCAGCTAGATATTTGACGTACTAGTAATATGACTGTAGCTTTAGTTAGACTAACGGATAACTGATTTAATTCTACTGTTGTTTCAGTTTCAGCTATACTCGAACTAGACCTGCATAAAAATATATAGTAATATTATACTGTAGCAAATATACTAATATTATAACAAGTGAGAGAGAGAGAGAGAGAGAGAAAGCTGGGGTTTAACGTCCACTCGACACAGTTTAGTTTTGATATTGGACTAAACAGTGTTTCTTACACTACACCGTAGCAAAAACTGGGCGTTTTTTGATGAATCTTGACTGCATTTAACACATTCTGAACGGCAATCTATTAACTGGATACGAGTAGTAAATTCTAGATGGTAAACTCAGTTTCTTTCCTTTTTTTGTCAAATCTGAATGATACCCGATCCCTAGTGAAAGTTGAATTCCTTTAAGAAATTACATACCAGTATTTAGGTAACGTCAACTGTTGTATCTTAATAATTGGACTACAAGGGGAGATAACTGTATGTAAATGGGATGTAGTTCCATCTGCATCTATCTTCTGTAAACCAGCATGAACATCAGAAATCTACAGTTATAACAAAATACAACATTAGCTTTTTATTCTATTTCAATAACAAAACCAGACTTTATCAAAACAAAACATTTGAAATTTAAAGGTCATGACTTGTTGGACATAACAAGACTACCTGCAACAATCCTCCTTGTAATAGTGTGGATCGAAACTGGGAAAGTTTCGGCCCATCGGTCAGGCGTTAAATTCTTTCACTTCTTTCTGTCATCCATCAGTAGAGATTTGTTAATGATTCATTTGTATTATCAATACTTGCTTATTCCTTATCTAAGGGAGATAACTATTATTTGATACACTCTCTCGAATAGTTTTTGAAATTATGTTCTGCTCTTAAACTGGGCTAATGAAGACGGGCTTATGCCATACATAGTGCTATGAGGGAAATTTTCACCAGACAGGGGCACTATTGCCTATTCTTATATCAAATTCCAACTGCCAAGGGATCTTTTACGCCAATGTATACACAGGACCTCGGTTTTCCCTATCATCTGAACAACTAGACAGCTGTCCTTGTCTCGCCTTCCATCCTGCACCACTGACAAGGGGGAACCACGCCGGAAAATCCTGATGGAAAATGACACTCAAGGCTAGCGAGCCAGTGCCTTACCCACTCCAATAGAGATTACTTTTGATTATATATAATTGCAATTCAACACACCTCAGCAGATTCCGGTACCCTACATCTAACCTCCGCTTTTTGACTAATTCTGCTATTGGAACTACTTTCAAGTTTCCCGATTAAAAATGGCAGCGCCCATGAAAACACCTGTGAAGAGTGTTTGTTTTTCTTTCAAGTTTATCTGATTTGCAACGAAAACTCTACACACTCTTCAAACGACGCCATTTTGAGAACTTCTTTCTAAAAGCGTCAAGTTTTCCCAAGAAGTAAACCAGTAGCCGCATCACAATTGTATGGGTGTAGCTACATATCACTTACCGTCCTACAGCCGAGGTTAGATGTAGGGTACCGAGGTTTGCTGACGGTTTGTCAAGTGTATAGTTGCTAATTTTATTTCTGTGTTAGCTTGTGTGTTGGGCAGTTTAATAAAATTAATACATACCCATTAAGAGAGAGAGAAAGACAGAGGTTAATGACCAATGACACAAACTCGCTCATTTCGGGACTAACGTATGGTTCAATTCTCTAACGTAAAATAAATATACCAACCTGTATTAGAGTATGTGAGTGACAGTGATGTAGAAGATTACTCGATGGATTCGTCAGGTTGCTAATCATTCGAACTAGTTTCCATGGATACATAGGTATTGTGACTTTAAAGTCAAACCTTGTAGCAGACACACAAATAGATGGAAGTGAGCAGGCTTTAACTTTTGATTTCGATTCCTGGAGGAAAAAAAGAAATTTTAGAGGATTTTTATTTCAGAGAGCATCTTTGTATTCAAGATTCAACAATTAACCTATTCTTATTTGAAAAATGTGGAGGAGAAATGAAATGACGTCCTACTGTTCTGCTCCGACTCGGCTAATGAAGACAGACATACGCCATACAGTGTGCTATAGAAAAATTATGCCTAGACAGCAATGATACAGCTTATTCTTATATTGAATTTCAACTGTCAAGGGTTCTTTTACAAGCACGCCAATGTGTAACCATGACCTTGGTGGTTCGTCCCAATTCTCTATGAGCAACAGTATTTTGTAATACATCAACTGATTTTGATTTTTCACGTATTTCCCTACCTTATTTTTTTTATTTGGTTTATATGATTTCTTGGATATATTCCATTTCTCGTGTTCCGGTACCACGGCAACAATAACCGGATGTAGTAATGTAACCTGCGTACATCGTGTTGGTATAAATTCATCCAATGATTTGATGTCATCATCTGATAACGTTAATCGCTCCTCTTCGCGTTCACCTACAAATAAAACAGAATCACATAAATGTCTACCAAAATGAAATGAAATGGGTTTTAACGACCTACTTTTCAACTCCTACTGGGCTAATGAAGACGGGCATACACTATACAGTGTACTACAAGGGAATTCCAACTTTCAAGGGATTGTTTACGTGCACACCAACTTGTACAAGGGATTTTGGTTTCTGTCATATTGTAACGACTAGACCAGCAGTGGGTCGGCTCACCAGACCCATCTGAAAATTTATGAGTAATTTTATCTCTAAATGAAATAAAAAATCGAAATTGTTTATTGTTGGGCCCTAACTCTAAACAGGGGTTACTCTCTGTTGGATCAATAATGTTTGTAGGTCTATTTATAGCTGGCAGCATCACTCAATGACTGGTTGCCTAATTGACGTCACTTGACGTGGGCCTACATTATTGTTTGATTTGTTGGAATGCTTTTTTTTCTCTTTGGATGGAGAGAGAAAGAAATGCGTTTTAAGGTCCACTCAACACAAACTAGGTCATTTTGGGACTAACACATGGTTCAATTTTATTTCAATAATTCGTTGCGCGTAGTGGGAGGAAACTGGAGGACCCGGAGAAAACCCACGAGGTTGGACAGGCAACCCTACTCCTTGTCATGTACAACCGGGGAATCGAAACCATGCCAGTTGATACAGCGTGCTAACCATTCATCCATCCAACCTTCCTTCTATGGATGGATCGATCGAGTCCATATCAATGTACATTGCTATAACTTTTTCAGCTTGCGACAAAATTATTCTACCTATTTTAGGAGTGCCGTATGGTTCATACTGATGGTTCGTAGCACAGTTGATGATCTTCTTAATACGATGTAGAAACGTTGACGTCAGGTTGACGCGCGTTGATCCAAATACCAATCTCATGATGGCATTCTCACGTTGAAAGACAGGATCTGAGTTATCACTTGATATCGATGATCGACTACCACCAGCTGTCGAAAATAAAATACAAAAATTCTAAACCAAGCCATTGCCATGCAAGATAGAGGGAAATGAAATGAAATGGGGTTTAACGTCCTACTGTTCTGCTCCGACTGGGCTAATGAAGACGGGCATACGCCATACAGTGTGCTATGAGGGAAATTTTGCCTGGGAAGTGGCACTATGGCCTACTCTTATATCGAATTCCAACTGTCAAGGGATCTTTGACGTGAATGCCAATGTATACACGGGACCTCAGAATTTTGTCCCATCTGAACGACTAGACAGCTGTCCTTGTCAGGCCCTCATTTCTGCATCACTGACAAGGGGAAACAAAAAAGTGCGAATGGACGTCGGATGGGCAGGGATGACGGCACAATACATCCACATGTGGGCGTATAAAAAAACCCACCAAATCATGTGTGTTGTTATTTTTGAATGGGCACAACTACAATAATAGGTTGATGTGTGCTAGGGTCAAAAGCCGTTAGTGTGACCTTTGACGCGACTTTCCACTACAACCGGTCAGATCTTCAGGTAGTGGAAGCCATCAAAAGTATAAAAAAAGAAACAAAATATAGATCTGTAAGAAAATCTGAAAAAAGGTTACATAAAATACGTACACCCAACTTTCTCTTCTTCTTTTTGCCAATTGTATAAATAATCGAACCAAAAGGCACCGTATCTGTGCATCGCATATTCTTCGGTCATCGCTTTTAAATGGCTGTCTTCCGTCACTAAATACTCATTGGTGCGACCTTGACATTCAGGAGAGTTTGAATCGAATAATGAGTTACTGATATAGTTCATGTTTGTCTTCGTTGCCAGACGTTCGCCACCAGATAACAACATAGTCGACTGAAAATACAATGAAACATTGAAGTCATTTGGAGACTAAAAGAGTCATTTTGAGTCTAAAAGATCCATTTTGAGTCTAAAGTAGTCATTTTGAATCTATAAAGAATCATTTTGAGTCTAAAAAGAGTAATTTTGAGTCTAAATCAGTCATTTTGAGACTAACATATTCATTTTGAGACCAACAAAGTCATTTTGAGACAAACAAAATAATTAATGTTCTATGAAGAGAGGGCCCACAGTTGACCTACAATCGATACACTATATGCTATTGTCTGTTCAAATCCAATGTTTCATTTTTTCAACCATTTTAACAGAAATTATCCCTCAAGAGAAAGTATTAATTACTGTAAACTGACTGGTCAGTTTTTTACTTCACTTTCTCAATATCACCAATTGCATGTTTCAATTTTACCCCCCCCCCATCTATTTTGGAGCTATTATAGCAAGATAGGCCAGGGCCCTTATTCACGAAAACTTAAACTAAGATACAATCGAAATTTTAAGAAATACTGCAATCGAATTGCAGTATTTCTTAAAATTTCGATTGTATCTTAGTTTAAGTTTTCGTGAATAAGGGCCCAGCTCTTTATCTTAATCTTAAATAATGTATCTTTAATATAACTATTATAGTAAGAACATCCAGCTCTTTATCTAAATCTTACATAATGTATCTTTAAATGTAAAATATATGAATACTATTAGCTGACAGTCATGAAATGAAATGAAATGGGGTTTAACGTCCTATAGTTCTGCTCCGATTGGGCTAATGAAGACGGGCATACGCCATGACAGTGTGCTATGAGGGACCTTTTGCCTGGACAGCAGCACTACGGCCAACTCTTATATCGAATTCCAACCGTCAAGGGATCTTTTACGTGCATGCCAATGTCTACACGGGA